AGGTTTAGGCCAGGCACAGTGGCTCATGCGCCTATAATCCCAGCACTTTGGGAGGCCGAGGCGGGCAGATCACCTGAGGTCAGGAGTTCGAGACCAGCCTGACCAACATGGAGAAACCCCGTCTCTACTAAAAATACAAAAAATTAGCTGGGCGTGGTGACATGCACCTGTCATCCCAGCTACTCGGAAGGCTGAGGCAGGAGAATCACTTGAACCCAGGTGGGTGGAGGTTGCAGTGAGCCAAGATTGTGCCATTGCACTCCAGACTGGGCGACAGAAGTGAGGCTCTGTCTCAAAAAAAAAAAAAAAAAAAAAGTTTGGTTTTCTTTTTGATTTCTAACCTTTGTCAAAAACTCAGACTTGGTTATGTTATTTGAATGGATAAGATATGTTTTAATTGATAGCATTTACTTCTATAAAGCTTTGTTTTCTTGTGCTCTTTATGGAAACAATCATTTATGTTCTATATTTAAATTGACAGCATTTACTCTTTTTATGAGACAAAGTCTCTGCCTCCCAGGCTGGTGTACAGTGGCGTGATCTCGGCTCACTGCAACCTCTGCCTCCTTGCAGGTTCAGGCGATTCTTGTGCCTCAGCCTCCAGAGTAGCTGGGGCTATAGGCATGCACTACCACAGCCGGCTAACTTTTGTGTTTTTAGTAGAGACGGGATTTCACCATGTTGGCCAGGCGGGTTTCAAACTCCTAACCTCGAGTGATCCACCCGTTTCCTCCCAAAGTGCTGAGATTGCAGGCCTGAGCATCAGCATCTTGCCCACATTTACTTTTTGTAATGAGGCTGTTTTGATGAGATAAAAAGTTTAAATTGGAGAAATGGATGACGGTAGTCTTATTTTAGTCCCAGCATTACATTTATTTCCTTGTTCAGTTTTTATCTCAGAGTATAGAGAAAATTCTTTCTCACAGTCAAATTGTATATGGTAACAGATTTTTTTCCAAACAGTTCATAGTACCATCTCAGTATTTTCAATTTCAGCTGATTCAGAACCTAAAGAGGATTAGCTGGACATTTTGTTTCAAAGTTGAATTGACCATATCTAACAACTGCTCATGTTTCCTTTTCATAAAATCTGCAAGTCAGACAAGAAGAGTCCAGAAGGTAATATTATCATTGGTCATTTGTTACACATTCCGTTCACTTATGTTTTAGATCAGCATGAGAGCATGCCTCAGCAGATGTGCCTAGTCTTAGCTAGCTAGTATTTACTTGCATGTGACGTGTACACATTACATAGTGTTATTCTTGTGTGACAGAGCAGACCTGGATTATTTTGAAATGCCCAGTACAGAGCTAAATCCTCTTAAACGTGTTTATGAGAAGCTCAGATATATGCCCACATGTGACAAGAAAAGCTTTATTCTAAAGGCTGCATGAAAAATGAATTATCTTGGCAGCACAAATGAACTCATTGTTGGTTTCTTCCTTTCTGTCCACCCCCTCCCCAAATTCCTCTCTTTTCTCTTCCTCATCTTCCAGTTTTACAGCAAAAGTCAAAGAGAGGTTTTGTTTTGTTTTGTTTTGTTTTTTTTAAGTCCCTTGAGTGAGGATAAAATAAAAATAACCTCAAGGATCCCCAGCCATTTTAGTGGGAGGCACCATTATTCTTGAGATTACTTGGGAGGTGGGATAAGAATATACAGACTACGAAGTCTGTAGAATGGATAAGTGAAGATGATGCTGGTCTGGGACTCATAGTTGTAGATAATCTCATAAGACTCTTGGCAAACTGTGGAAGACAGGTGCCCACTGAGGAAATAGGATGGTGCAAGGACGAGCTTAGGTATCTACTGGGCTATATCCAGCTCTGATTCTAGGTTTATGTGTAATTAAGTGTTTTTAGATTCCTATCTGCAGTAAGGAAGAATAAATTAAGTTTATTTAATTTTTTAAGGTTGTCTTCTTTATGTAACAGCCCAAGATTTTCTGAGGCTGTCTAAAATTAATTGCAGACCAAATGGAGAAGGCTGAAGAAACAAGAAGACCTTACTTTTACTTTTTAAAAGCTTTAAACATAGAACATAATAGTTGGGTTCTGGGTCTGTCCAAAAATATTCATTTATATTCTGAATTATAGCAGGTAACAGATGAATATGAACAAACATTAAATGGCTTGATTCAAGATGTTTATAAATGCTGGGGGGTTTTAGACTATTTTTAAGGTTAATGATATTACACAATATAACAGCTGTAGGAAAAGTTTTCTCTCAGATGTGGGACTTCCATGTGTAGCATTACATAGTGAGCCACTCTCCTAGCTGAATCAAGTGAGTCTGTTTCTGAGATGGGTGAAAGAACTGGACTAAGGGCTGAGGGACTTTTAAATTGTGTGTGTATGTGTTTTTGTTGTTGTTGTTGTTGTTGTTGTTGTTGTTTTGAGGTGGAGTCTTGCTTTGTCACCCGTACTGGAATGCAATAGCATGATCTCGGCTCACTGCAGCCTCTGCCTCCTGGGTTCAAACGATTCTCATGCGTCAGCCTCCTGCGTAGCTGGGATTACCAGCACGAGCCACCATGTCCGTCTGTTTTTGTTTTTGTATTTTTAGTAGAGACGAGGTTTCACCATGTTGGCCAGCCTGGTCTCAAACTCCTGACCTACGGTGATCCACCTGCCTGAGCCTCCTAGAGTGCCGGGATTACAGGCGTGAGTTACCGCACCCAGCCTAATTTTATTTTAAAACATGCTGTTACCTCAGTAATTCTGCCTTTGGCTAGGTAATCTACCTTAGTGGTAGACCTGAGGTTTGGAAATCAGAGAGCTATTCTGGTCTCTTTCATAGATTAACACTGTAAGGGAAGATCTAACTACCCTGAACCTGTTTCCTTATCGTAATCAATAGGTCCAGGCTGCGAAGAAAGGGAGCCATCAGCCACAAGTAGTTATTGAGCCTTAGGATTATGGCTAATACTAATATAATTTTTTTTTTTGAAAGAGAGTTTCAGTCTTATTGCCCAGGCCGGAGTGCAGTGGCGTGATCTCAGCTCACTGCAACCTATGCCTCCCCAGTTCAAGTGATTCTCCTGCCTCAGCCTCCTGAGTAGCTGGGATTACAGGAGCTCGCCACCACATCCAGCAAATTTTTGTATTTTTAGTAGAGATGGGGTTTCACCGTGTTGGCCAGGCTGGTCTGGAACTCCTGACCTCAAATGATCCGCCTGCCTCAGCTTCCTAACATGCTGGGATTACAGGCGTGAGCCACCATGCCTGGTCATTAGATGTCCTGTAAGTGTAAAATACACACTAGATTTTAACAACTTGGTAAAAATATAAGAACGTAAAATCTCATTGCTGATTTATTTATATCAATTATATTGTTGGGATGATAATATTTTGGATATATCAGTTAGGTAAAATGTATTGTTAAAATTAGTTTCACCCATTTCACTTTACTTTTTCAAATGTGGCTGCGGCTGGGTGCAGTGGCTCACACCTGTAATCCCAGAACTTTGGGAGGCCAAGGCAGGCGGGTCATGAGGTCAGGAGTTTGAGACTAGCATGGCCAACAAGGTGAAACCTTGTCTGTACAGAAATTACAAAAATTAGCTGGGTGTGGTGGTGCATGCCTGTAATCTTAGCTACTCAGGAGGCTGAGGCAGGAGAATTGCTTGAACCCGGTAGGCGGAGGTTGCTGTGAGTGAGATTGCACCATTGCACTTCAGCCTGGGCAATAGAGTGAGACTACGTCTCAAATCAATCAATCATTCAGTCAGTCAGTCAGAAATCTGGCTGCTAGAAAATTTAAATTCTGTATATGGCTCATGTTATATTTTTATTGGACAGCACTGGTCTGGATGATATTTCTGAAACTGACTCATGAAATATGTATCAGTGCTTAATGAAGCATTTTGCAAGAGGAGCACTATCCAGTAAACTTGTGCAGTGATGTGAATGTTTTGTATCTACACTGAACAATGTAGTTGCTACTAGCCACGGTGACTCTCGAGCACTTATTTTTTTGAGATGGAGTCTTGCTCTGTCGCCCAGACTGGACTGTAGTGGCGCAATCTCGGCTCACTGCAACTGCTGCCTCCGGGGTTCGAGCAGTCTCCTGCCTCAGCTCCCGAGTAGCTGGAACTACAGGCGCCCACCACTACGCCTGGCTAATTTTTATAGTTTTAGTAGAGGCGGGGTTTCACCATATTGGCCAGGCAGGTCTCGAACTCCTGTCATTGTGATCCACCCACTTCTGCTTCTCAAAGTGCTGGGATTACAGGCATGAGCCACCACGCCTGGCCCAGAATTTTAAATTGTTTTAAATTTTAATTTAAATAGCCCCATAAGGCTAGTGGCTAATGTACTGGGACAATGAAGGTCTAGAGGATTTATGGGATATTTTTTTTTTAAATGAGATTATTTTATTCAAAGACTTGTATACCTAGGACTTGTTTACCATATTGCAGACTTGTTAATTAGTTTAATATAAGTCTATAGATTTGTGTTTATTTTAATAATGATCAGTAATAGTGACACTTGCTAAGTACCAGAGAAAGGATTTGTGTAATCAGTTATTTATTGAGCCTTTAACTGTGTTGCTTATGTCTTCTAATATGCTAAATGCTTAGTGAATTCTAAGACACTGTGTGGGCTAACCATGTTTTCATCGAAGTCTGGTTCCTTTTTTTTCTTTATGAGGGCTCTTCTGTGAAAGCCAGGCTCCTTTTGAAAAGTCTAAACAATGTGCTACTTTGTTCAAGGATTTTCTCTTGAAGGGGAAACCGATGCTTGTTAACAGATGATTATGATTTTTTTTTTGGTGGAAACTTTTAAAATTATGCTTTTGGTCTTAAAAGAAATATGTATATGCGTGTATATACACATACACACAGAGTTGCAAGTACCAGTATTATGTAATATTTATTTATTTATTTTGTAGATACACAAACATTCGTAAGTACTGGTATACAGTATTACTTATTAACAACCCAACTATTTAACTTAATAATTAAAAATTATTAATTTATTATTGCTTCACAGTGAAGAACCGAATGTCATCATGTCTGGAATCAAGCGAACCATCAAAGAAACCGACCCTGATTACGAGGATGTATCTGTGGCCCTTCCAAACAAGCGGCATAAAGCAATTGAGAATTCAGGTAGAAATTAACCTGCCTTAGGAAATTATTTCTTTATTGACATATGCCTCTGCTAGCAGACTTATAGGAACTAGAATGAAATGAATTTCCACTGTTGTGTGTAAGTTGAAGGGGTTTATGAGAGAGATTAGCTAAGGGGTCTGTTTAATAGTAATACACCATGTGTGCCATAAAAAGTGGAAGAAGATCTGGCAGGAACATGATCAAGTAGACAGTGAAAGCGAGACAAGCTGTTAGTTTTAGCGATCATTGTATGTTAGGTGTAATCATAAAGTCTATGATAGGTATAAAGGTGTGCTATAATTGTGAGATGGTCATAGGTGGTACATGGTTTTTAATTTTAGTAGGCAACATTTTAATGTGTATAGAAAAAAATGATTCATCAAACTTGTAGTTTCATAGCTACAAGGATAAAGCTAAAATTATTTTTAAATGCTTAATTGTGTTAATTAAATGTGTCATATGGTTCTCAGGTGTGGCAGGTATCTTGAAGGCATATGAATGGTGGAAGATTAGGAAACATCTATCCAGTTCAACCCCTGTACTTAGCTGACAGTGGGTAAATTAAGATTCAGAGACATCAGATTACTTACCTAACATCATATAAGTAGTTGAAGAGCAAATCATCAACCGGGTGTCTGTTGTTCCTCAGAATGTCTTTAAGCAAGCTAAAAAATATTGCTAAATTTACATTTTTAAAACAGATTATTACCGAACTTCATTAATGTTTATTTAAGTAATCTACCTAAGTTAATACTTTTAGCAGGGTAAAGAAGGCGTCAAAAAGTTATAGCTCAGATGTTGCAGTTCCACAAGGATCTGTAGAGTGGAAGTGGTGAAGAAAATTCCTATTTCTGTAAGAGCAGTGAAGTCCTACATATTCCCAAAAGGTCTGTCTAGAAGGAAAATTGTTAAATCCAATCCCAAATAATGAAAACATTTCCCTGCAATTTCCCCCCCTCATTCAGCTGTAATTTTAGGGGAAATACCATTTCCTTTCAGTAACAAGCCAAATAAATGTCAAAGTATTATGTAACTGAATTCATTACCCAAGAGCTTCACATGGCATAACTTTTTAAAATAAAAACAAGAATAGGGAAAAGTGACTGTTTTAATAACATCGTAACTTCAGTTTAAATTGAATGTAAGTTCCAAAATACCCCCATTCAAGCAGGGGCAGTTTTTTGCCTGCTACTGAGTGACAATATGCTATTCTTTTTCTTGGTGTCTAATGCTCACCTTTTTTCCCACCAGAATTTTTCTCAAAGTAGATTTGGTAGGATGCCTCTCTTTGCATATGTTATTTTGTTTT